TTTTTTTCTGAATTATAATCCTTCGGCTTGAAAGTGAAAATATTCTTCCGGTCAATGAGCTGCTGGGAATGAATGTTCACTGGGTTCCCACACTTCATTTATTAGCATAACTGGTTTACGCTCACCACCGGGCGTGGTTCAAAAATGCTGCCTTTCTTGGGCTGCATTTTTCGAGGCGTTTTCAAAGTGGTATGGAGATTATGTCAATGCAATGATTTTCAATCATTCACCGACAGACTTGGAATTTAATGCTTGTCTGATCAGGTTGAAACTGCTGACTAGAACCCGTGACGAGATCTGAGGTTGACGCGATGTCATTTCATTTTCAGTAAAATTACACATCATCCGAGTTTGTATTTGAAGGGTTCCGTTTTTCCTTTTTATACAACGTTTTCGAAATATTTAATTGACTCATTTCCAATGTTATCCGGAGGTTTCTCGTTCTTTCTTGCGCCATCATATGAAAAAAATCACAATGCGAATAAAAATAATTGGGGAATCTGACTCACGGAAAAAATTTCTCATTCTTATTTTACAATTGGTTTGATTGAATTTTTCCAATGATTAGAATGAAATGTTGAAAATACGAATGCAACGAAAAGTATTTCTAGAAATTTGATTCGTGATGTGTTTTCCATTCCTGTGGAAAAACTGGGGATGATTGAATGTTCCAAGAATGTGATCAAAATTTTTGAAATGTTCGTGCATATTTATAATGGCTTTTACCTTAATTCGCATCATATACGGTTGTACCACTTCGAATCCTGCGAAACCATTTTTTTGTCGGATCTAAATTCCGAATCCAACGGCACCATTTTCACATTATTCAAAATTTGAAGCGCTTTTCTTCCTACGTGTTGAAAACTTGTTTTTTATTGTTATTTAGATTTCAAATAATTGTAGGAAGTATAGTATCAATATAGCTCACAATTTAAAACGGAAGGTAATTAATAGGCAAGGCATCTCGATTCTACAGTATTTGAAATTAAACTCTTGATTTTGTTCCTTCGTCATTAAAAAAAAATTGTTCTCGAGGAAGTAGGTCCAACATCGTCAGGTTCATTCTGACAAAAATATGAAAAATTCCTTCCGTGATAATGACTCAGATTTATTCTGTGCAGAACAGTTGATTTATTCATTATTTTGATATCCGTGGCTGCAATGCTGAACTCAAAATATTTTACACCTTGAACTGTTGACAGACTGGTAATCCAAACATTGCCCGAGTCATGGAAATAATTGATGATCTTTGGAAAATGGAGAAGGGACTTGTTTTGATGTCGATCCGAGAGTGACTTCGAGAATTCCGATTTGAAAAATCGAAAAATACGAGGTTTCTTTCCAAACGAGTTTATATTTCGTAGAATATGATTGTTCGATAATTTTTAAACATTTTAAATCTCATTGACATTGATGGAGAGGAAACTGTGCAGCAGTGAAGTGATATTGATTGATGAAATGATGCGGCTTCTTTCTGAAAATCCATGTGGGGCCATTCAAATTATTATTATTAGCTGAATTTTATGTCGGCTCTTATTGTTCGTGTCCACAATCGTCCTTTTTTTGCCATAAAATCTTCAGTTTGCGTTTTTATGAATACAGTTTTGCCCGCTGTTGATATAATATATGTTGTGTCATTCTTTTTCGTTGCAGGTGGCAGAAAACTCCTTGCACATTTTCCACTTGCTTGCCTGAAGTATATGTTTTGCTGACAGACATCGGTTTTTTACGCGATGTTTTTCTGCGGATGAGGAAGAAATTGGAGATAGAGAAGAGAACCTTTTGATGATTTGTTTTGTACTCAAGCCGAGCTGGGAGGACTGAAGGTGCAGAAGAGTGACAAGCGAATTCTAGTGATACTTTTTTCATCCAAAAGATGCATTATTTTCCGTTTATTTCATTCATTGTGCAATCTTTTCGGAAGGAATATCGGCTGAAGTTGTCATGGAGCGGGAACGGAAGGAAGGATAATTTATTTTCCAATCAATGCCCAGAAAGAAAGAAAAAAAAGAGTGTGAGAAAGTTTTAGCGGGGATCGAGGTTTCAATTTTCTTTTTTTTCAAGTCCCTGACGTAATGACTTTGGATGTGAGTTGGCTCTTTTTTACTCAAAACATTTCTTTTTTAAACTTCCTTCTTCTCCCGGGAGAACAGAAAACTACGAGTTTAAGGTGTGTGTTCAAGATTTTTCTTGTGGTGATTGATGAGGTAGTTCACGTGACAATGTCTTCATGCAAAAAAAAATGTGAGATTGATGTGCAATTCTCCTCGGATGAAGGAATGAAACCAGGGATGCAAGTATTTTGGCCTGGCATGCATTGTAAAACTCCGTGGCCAAGAATTGTGTTTCATGTACAGGGTGTAAATGTTGTCAACAAGGTGCTGTTCTTTCAAAAAAAAATACCGTGTATGGAGGCTATTGTGTTTTTTTTTTTGCGAATGACTGTGTGCCGATTGTTCGTCGCATTAACACAGTTGTGAATTTTAGCCAGAAACATTATAGTTTCATGTATTTTTTTGCACCAATTGAATGAAAGCTCTACGGGTACACAGTGTTTACAAGTTGGTTTTCCTACGAGTCGTGACCTTCAGAGGTGTTTTTTTTTTGCGAGAGTTTTTGAGAGAGCGGGAGATTTTGCGTGAGAGGTTGTTCCTTTCTTCATTCCCACTTCCTTTATCCACTGCCGACTTTACCACGAAGAAGTAGTTTTAATCAGAATGTGGAAGGAGGTCTTTTTTTTTCAGGCAAGTAGTTCGATTTTTTTCTTGGATGAGAGTCCTTGTGAAACGTTTTTTTTTTTTTTTCGTGAACAATTGGCAATGTGGGGACGGAGGCTGTGGGAAAAGAAGAGAAAAAGGACAAGGTGGGGGTGTAGAAATAATTCGGGTGATGCAATTATTATTTTTTTCTCATGTGGTGGTGTGAGCAATTATATATATTGCGAGGACTTGAGTTGCCACGAGTCAAAGACAAGTTTCCCTGAGCTAGGATGAAGAAGTGCGTGTCATGTTGATCCGCTGCGATTGGTTTTTTTTCTGGCTGGCCCCGTTCCATGAGCTCTGCAGAACAGTGTTTTGTGCTATATGTAATAAAAGTAAGAAAAATTTTTTGGAAAAAAAGTTTTTGGTGCATTTTCAAAAAAAAAATGAATGCGCTAATATTTCTGCGTAAGTAGGCACACTTGAAGGTCGCAACCACAAATGTTTCTACAAACACACTCCCTTATCACTGCGTTTCCTGTATAAAAAGGGATGTACTTTACAGACTTTAGTTTGTTAAATTAAGGTCCTGAAGTAGTGAAATTTCAAACTCATATAATTCGGTATACGTTTGAACAATATTTGTTACCTGCTGGCTCACGTAATTGTCGCAGCAATTGGAGGAAATATTCAGATATTTTGAATATTGACTTCCATTGACTTTGGATATCATGAACGAAGAATTCAACAGCTTCAAAAGGAATGAATTTTAAAATTGTGATACAGTATTGTATACTTTATAACATCGTTCTTTAAACTTACAAAATCGAAAATTTTGTGGGTCGGGTGCCGGATTTTTGTTGCTTGTCCGGAACAGAATTTTTTTCTTGATGAAACCGTGAAAGAAATTGTGATCCAGATAAAAAATTACTTGACAAATCGAAATAAACCCTAGAATGGATTAGTTTTGTATTTCAGAGACCACATGCATTCCATTGTGAATGTTTGACCTTTGCTGGTTTAACCATCCGCAAACAAAATATTGCATGATCTGTTGATCACACTACAGTACAAGTAACTGATGTACACGCTCATCATAAACTTTCCCTCTGAAACAGAAATAAAAAATATGTATGGATATTTAAGCATGATTACTGATGTTCACATACAGTACACTGTACGAATTTTAATGGGCAGTAAGTTTCAATTTTGAATGCAAAGAAAACGTTTCAAAATATTTTAAAAATAAATTCATTTTAGATTTACTGGGCTCCTATTCCTATTTATGTTTTTGTCGAACCATGGATTTTCTCTAACCAATTTGGAATAAAAATAAGTTTTACATTTTTTGAAATGCCTGTGATATCACAGATTCAATTTCATCGCGTCAGAAGCCCTGTCTGTAATTTATACTGCAATAATGGGTTCTGCCATGACAGTCGAGAGATGAATACAAATACAGTGCACTATTTGAAACATCGCATTGTTGTTCTATATAAGCCCATGTTTGATGAACACGAATACCGAAGAGGGCTGTTTCGGATGAAAGAAGGTCCCCTGCTTCAGTTGGTTTTCGCACAATCTTCTAAAAATACGGGATAGTGAGTGAGTCTAACTTGAGAATTGTTTTTCTGCATATTACCGTCATTAAAAATATTTCCACAAACAAGGTTGGAAACGGTCAAGATGGGCAAAGGGAAATGTTGAGTTTATTCTATTCTTGACGGGGTGTCAGAGAAACATAATTTTCTGCTTTTTTAACCTCGTCAAAAATAAAGAGAGAGGTGTTATTTTCTTTTGGAGGTCCTATTTAAACGAACCTTCAGAGGAGTACTGACTCACAAAATTCCACTTGTTTGTTTTTTCTCTTTTACTGCTGGGTAGTTGCGTATAAGTCAATTCAGGAATAAGGTTGATTCATCAATCCGAAAATACTGCAAGCTCTTGCTGTTAATGTTGATCTTGTCAATGATGGAATGAGATGAAAACGTCATTCCATCCGTTATTAAATTATGATTTCTGATCTTTTGTAGAATCTTTGGTTCGTCCTATTCTAGACGGATTTACGTCACGACAGCCCTTCTTTCGGAAAAACGGACGCAGTCCCGAGGAAGCGATCTCGCACGGAACTGGAACACCATCATTTTCGCGACAATCCCATTTAATTTGGTGCATTTTTTTTTTTTTGTAACTTTAAAGTGGTGCAGATTCCCGTTTAAGTCGTAAAGTCGGTTCGAGACAAAGTTTCGAGTTTGGTAGTTGCCTCATCGCTTCTAAACAGTTCCTTGTGAGTTCACTTCCTCATGATGTGAAGCCAGATTTTGTAATGAAAATCTGCGCAAGTTCGTGTTTCCAGACAGGTTTTGGCAAGTTCAACGTTTCTCCAGAACTAATAAAATATTCCGTAATTTCCGCCACAAAGGAACCTTCGTGGTTGTTCTTTTCTTTACCCCTGAAATGTGAGTCACGCTGTGCATACTTTTCCTTCGCCGAATATTCTTCAATTATGAAACAATTAATTCATACGCATTTCAATAATGAATTCATTTTCAAGATGCAATGTATACAACAGTGAATTTCTCTATTGGGAAATCTAGAATAGTCTCTGTTCCTCCAGCATCTTCGGCGACTTTAAAATTCTTTTGAAGAATTGAAGGCATTTCTGTTATCCTTTTTGTATCGAGCAGCTTAATTTTTAGACGGGATTCCTTGCGTACTTTCTCATCAACGAGCTTGGAAGCATTAGTGCACGAAAAAATGCAAATACCATAATCGGAGAATTCCTTCAATATTCTGCTTGTTGTTGTCGTCGTATCGGATTTCTGAGCTTATCGTATGGATATTTTGTTTATTCGTCTGCTCTTGGTGTTGTGTTCGTCATTGGAATGGCCTGATGAAGGAAAGGTAATCCCCGAGGGAATTGCTTGCTGTTTTATATTCGTGATTAGGATGTTGTTGCTTCATTGGACAGCACTCTTCTGCGTTCAGGTATACAGAGAAATATTTGAAAAATACACCAACTTCTTCGAAAAAATTGATGTAACTCAGAAAAATTATAATGCGTGATGTTTTCCTCGTGGTAACAGGGCTAACATCGCACAGTTTCCTTGTTTTTGTGCGATGGAATAAACCTTAGTCATCAAGTTCATCAAGGAAGCTTTGTTTAATATTGATATTTTGTTTCCAAACATTATAAGTAAAGCATATTATTATTAAGATAGATTTCAATTCCAAATTTTTGGATTGACCTTTGGATGACTTAAAGTTAATAGTGTTCTAGGGGTGTCTTCTGCGCGTGGAATATAATAAGGATAAAATTTTCGAGACACTACATTTTTAGACTTAAGTTCGGGTGAACTTTTAGTTTAAGTGTGATGATATTTATAATATTAAAGTGGATAAGTCTAAAAAAAAATTTTGAAATGGAGAGGAAAGGTTACAATTTTCGAAAAAAATGCCACATTAAAATCTGTACCAAAAAATGACTTAAACCTCGTTTTTGTTCCAATGTTTTCTTTGAAATTTTCAACAACAAAAATGTCACATGAAAATTTGTACCAAAAAAGACTTGCACCTCGTTTTTGTTCCCTTTTTTTTTTGAAAATGTGCAGGTGCTGGTTCTTGGGTAAATGCAGGACCATGGAACGAAATACAGTATTTGTTCAAAGGGTTACAATATTTGCTGATTTGGCACTGATACGAACCTGTGCTACACAAGTTTGATCCATATAGCGATAAATTTCTCAATTTATTAATTAAAAACTATTTGCCAGAGAAGTTCTACTCGGAATATCGAAGTCCCATCTCTCAGTTAATGGATTAGTTTGCGAGTCACTTTGCCCTACTTGAAGCATATTCATGTAGGTGATGATTAACTTGGTCCCATTTTAATTGTTTTTCATTATTTTATTTTTTTCAATAGTTCGATGTGGGTCACATTGGCGTCGGGATACAGGATCAATGCAATCTCGACGTTCTGTGTTCATGGACTTCGTTGAAAGCTGTACTGAAGTACGACGAACCATCGAGAGAACCGAAGTCTTCTTTCAATCCTGTCAAGCCTTTAGTGATGAACTTCGGAATTTCCGAACGCAGTGTTTCCCAACCCGTGGTCCTCGGGAAATTTTCTGCTGCATAATTTATAAACAAAAATAGCAATGAAGTCTGTTATTATTTTTTTCTGAAATGTCAGATAGACAATGACAGTGGAAATTATCTGAGGAAACAATAAAAGTTGGATTTCCTCCTAATAACACACAAGACAAGTTTTCACCTGCTGAAATAAATTATTTAATTTTTGTCATCCTGAAAAACCTTTTTCAAGCCCACCTTTTTTTAAATTTTTTGAAGACATTTCACTGTATTTATGTTTTTGTTGGTTCATATTTTTCGCAAAAAGCATACACTTTTTCAATGTCTGCCATACAGTCTTCCAAGTTTCAGGCAAAATATTTTTGAGTCCGCAAAATTTTTATGAAACTTTGTATCCATCTGCAGAAAATTTGTGGGAAATTTGGCAGTCTGCTAAACATTTTATGGAAATTTGCAGGTCCTTGGCCCCAAAGAGGTTGGGGAACGCTGTTGTAACCCACAATGTTTTCCAACCCATGGTCTGCAGAAGTTTATTGCCAATCCTCGCGAAATTTTCTTCAGCATAATACATCAAAACTAGCAATGAAGGCTGTTATTTTTGATTGAAATTTCAGCAAGACAATGACAGTTGAAATTATCTCATGGAAAACAAAAGGTTGGTTTTTTTCTTCATAACATTACAGACAAATTTTCAGCTACTGAAATACATTATTTTGATTTTTAATTCAGGGAAATCTTTTTGCAAGACCACCTTTCTAGTTTTTTGAAAACATTCCAATATAGCTGCTTCATTGCTTCTTAACTTAATTTTTTTCAAAAGCATACCATTTTTAAATACCTGCTATAAAGTCTTTCATGCAAGACTTTTTATGCCTGCAAACATTTTATGAAACTTTGACAGTCCCTAGAAAAATTTCGGAAATTTGCTGGTTTGCAAAAATTGTTATGGAAATTTGGCAGTCAGCAGAGCTGACCCAAAACGGTTCAGTACTGTTCTAAGAACACACAGGGGAATTCAGGTCGATCAGCAGCATGGACTTCGTGGCGGATCCATTATTTCCGCGGAGTTCTTATTCCTTTTGTCGAAAGGTTCGTGAGTGAACTCTTCTCTTTTAGGTGATGATTAACTTGGTCCCATTTTAATTGTTTTTCATTATTTTATTTTTTTCAATAGTTCGATGTGGGTCACATTGGCGTCGGGATACAGGATCAATGCAATCTCGACGTTCTGTGTTCATGGACCTCGTTGAAAGCTGTACTGAAGTACGACGGACCTGGCATCGGGAAAACCGAAGTCTTCTTCAATGCTGTCAAGCCTGTAGTGATGAACTTCGGAATTTCCGAACGCAGTGTTTCCCAACCCGTGGTCCTTGGGAAATTTTCTGCTGCATGATTTATAAACAAAAGTAGCAATGGAGTCTGTTATTTTTTTTCTGAAATGTCAGATGGACAATGGCAGTGGAAATTATTCGCAAAAAGATTTCTCTCCAAATTAAAGTTGGATTTACTCCTAATAACACTTGAGACAAATATTCACCTGCTGAAATTAATCATTTATTTTTTCCTCCTGAAAAACCTTTTTTCAAGCCCACCTCTTCTAATTTTTTTTAAAGACATTTCACTATATTTCCTTCATTATTGTTTCATATTTTTTGCAAAGAAGCATACACTTTTTCAATGTCTGCCATAAAGTCATCCAAGTTTCAGGCAAAATGTTTTGAGTCTGCAAAAATTTTATGAAACTTTGTATCCATCTGCAGAAAATTTGGCAGTCTGCTAAACATTTTATGGAAATTTGCAGGTCCTTGGCCCCAAAGAGGTTGGGGAACGCTGTTGTAACCCACAATGTTTTCCAACCCATGGTCTGCAGAAGTTTACTGCCAATCTTCGGGGAATTTTCTTCAGAATAATAAATCAGAAGTAGCAATGAAGGCTGTTATCTTTGATTGAAATTTCAGCAAGACAATGACAGTTGAAATTATCTCATGGAAAACAAAAGGTTGGATTTTTTCTTCATAACATTTCAGACAAATTTTTCAGCTACTGAAATAAATTATTTTAATTTTTAATTCAGAGAAATCTTTTTGTAAAACCATCTTTCTAGTATTTTTCAAGACATTCCATTATAGCTGCTTCATTGCTTCTCAACTTAATCTTTGCAAAAAGCATAACTTTTTAAATACCTGCTATGAAGTCTTTCAAGCAAGACTTTTTATGTCTGCAAACATTTTATGAAACTTTGACAGTCCCTAGAAAAATTTCGGAAATTTGCTGGTTTGCAAAAATTTCTATGGAAATTTGGCAGTCAGCAGAGCTGACCCAAAACGGTTGGGTACTGTTCTAAGAACACACAGGGGAATTCAGGTCGATCAGCAGCATGGACTTCGTGGCGGATCCATTATTTCCGCGGAGTTCTTATTCCTTTTGTCGAAAGGTTCGTGAGTGAACTCTTCTCTTTTGAGCTTGGAAAAACGGAATAATTTTCTTTCGAATTTGGTTCACTTGATGCATTATATGCGGAATGTAGATGGAGGGAAGATTTCAAAGGAACGACGTCCGCCAAAACAATATCCGTGAAAGCATGAAAATCTGGAGTACCGGCGCCGCGAAATTCTCAATCTGGATGGATAAAGGACGCCGCTGAAGCGAATTTCTGGAGCCTCCGTTTTTTTCAAAATATGTGTGTCATAATCTCCATTTCGAAGATGTTGTAATCCGTCATTGTTTTCTCGTCGGTATGCGTGGAGAAGCATTTTTTGATGAAGATGTGATTTTTTTTCCAGTTTCTTTATGGCGGGGCACTTGCAGCATGCGGATTTTACGGGAATCAAAAGCTATCGTCCAAATCGCTTCAGCAGTTTTGCATTTTGATTGATTCAGCTGCTAAATTTCGGAAGAGTGTGTGATGTGATATGCACCAGCAAAAGGTAAGGATCCAACAATAAGCGAGACAAAATTGTCATGCTTCCGATTTCCAAATTTTACCTTTTTATAATGACCGAAGTTTCAGGTTGTTTCCGAACAAAAATTCATAAGTAGCAATTTGGAATAGAGATTAAAATGGCATATAATTGAGCTGAAAAATAATTATTCTTTAGGGAAAACATATTCTTTGGCACACGAAAAAAATCAGCCCTGTTTGAAAAATTTTGTTGAATGTTTTGCAAAATTCACCCTAGCAGAATTTTGCTCTCCACTCAAAAGATGAGGCATCCTTCCTTCAGATTTTTTTGTTGTAGCCCAGTTTTCCCCTCAGAATTCTTGAAATCAACTTGACATTAATTTCAAGGGTTGCCTCTAGGTCTTCCATGGTAATTCCGCCATTTTCATCAAAGGATTTACACATCAAAGGATTAATCAAAGCATTTATATTATTTGAGAGCCGCCACATTGGCGGCTCTCAAATTCCAAACACAAATTCCGAACACCGATTTCGCAAAATCTTGAATTAATCCAGAAAAACTGAGTTCCTGCATGTCCAAATGTATTGTACAGTAGTAGTACAGTATTCCTTTATAGAATTCATTTGATATTTCTTCATTTTCTTCTTTCCAGAGGATTTCACGGTCGTATGGAAGAGCTGAATATGGATCTTCCCATCGAAAACTCGAGTTGTCCGCCATCACAGCTTTCATCTTCACCATGCGTCTATTTTTTTTTATTGCAGTTTCGGGATTGAATTGAAAACTGGACTCAAAAAGAGAACGATTTCTCGAATAACCTCATCTTCGAACGACGATTGAATTCCGAGCGTGGCTGACGTCATCAGCGTCTGATGCGTGCGGGCTGTGGGAAACTTCTTCGATATATTTCTGGACAAAAGCTTTTCATGGAAGATTCGAGTAATAACTTTACCAGTACATTACAGTACTGCAGTTCGGAAATCGTCAATGGATCGGGATTGCGCCTCGTTTGTGTTCATGGAATTCCAATGGGATACTTGTCATTTTTCGTATTGCCGCAAAAAATTCCTCCGTATCGCGTCGCGCGCTGTGATCATTACTGATTTTTCAAAGTGAGATTCAATGAAGAAAAATTTGGAAATTTCGAATATTTTTAAACTGCACAAATAAACTCCTTTAAATTGAAGATTATGCGAAGAGCTTTTGGGCTTCGAAATTCAGGTGCGGACACTCATTATTGCTAACGCCAGAAAATTATAGAAGCTATAATTGAAAGAAGAATTTGATCTCGAGAAATATATCTTTATAAAATGTAGTAAAGAGCTGGCCACAACTGAATCTCTAATACATCGAAGTATACCTTTTGCAGAAAAATGTATTCAATTTAAGAATGCATTTGTCAATTTTGAAAACATTTTCCTAAAAATTTTCTTGAAAAGCGTAATTTTAGTCAAATATCAAATTACTCAGCTTTTATAATCTGATGCATGCTCTCGATTAAAGATAATGCATAACTTGATTCTACTTCTGAAAGTATAAAAATTATCGCATAACAAAAAACCATTCATCCTGCGTAACCGTCAAATATGGTCGTACAGTACCTGAAACGACAGTCTATCTAAATGAAATTTTTAAAACGTGTGTTTTTTTCATAGACGTACAATATAAATACGTAGTATTAAATTACTAATTACATTACATCGATTGTCAATTTCATAATACTGCAGTACAGTAATTGCATATATATTTGGCACGGCACGAGGAATGTAATGTGCTCCTGTGGATTGAAGTGTTGCTTTAAATTTTCGACAATGTCTTGAATCCAATTTTCAATCGGTGACGCATTATACTGTATCACATCTTTGAGAGCACGCAAATGTTAAAAAGGTGCAATTTTTTTTACCTTAATGTTTAAAATACACTGCTGTAATTTATTCAGCACTGCAGTACAGTATAATTAAATTTCGTCTATGGTTTCGTTTTTTTTAAGTCAAATTTCTCTTGCGATTGCTGCATGTAACTCGCGCGAAAAAAGAAACAAACAATAAGGCTGAGGCATTAGCATTCAGAAAATCCCCATTAAACGTTTGAGAGGTAAGCGAACATTTCCAATTTTTCGACTCCCGAAAAGAAAATATTCATAGTGTACAATGAAGCTATCGTGCATTTGAAATACTGTAATTCCTAAACAATACAGCAATAAAATGATGAACCTTTCTCTTCAAGAAGCTGAATTAATTTACATCGACCTCGACGTCTTTTCTTCGTATATAAAATGACCTGCTGGGACAATATCTTCGATGACCACTCGTTGCATCATATAAGGGTCAATATGTAAATATTTCTCAAAATAAAGGACACACCGTACATAAAGTCTATTTCTGGATTTGTTTTCTTATCGCGGTCTGTGATCAAAACGTGGGAAAGGTTTGATGTAATTCTGTATTTCGCTTGGTTATTTGATAAGTATTATGAGCTTTGTAAAGCATTCAGGATGAATGTGAGGCGCTCAATTAAACATATGAATTATTTTAGGCATTAAAAAGAAGCGTTCATCAAGGGAGTTAAGAATACGCACTTTTTTGCGTCACTCTCAGTCACAAAGAATAATTTGTGCACTCAAAACATGAATTGCTAGACACGTAACGAGGAAGTAATAACACACTGCTACTCGTAATCGTAATACTGATAAAACGACATTTAATCTCTACACAAATTACAGGATCCAATTGGCTCCAAGCTCATCAATAACGTTTTTCTCGTCGAATTTTTTCTTCAATAAAATTGCAGTGATTCATCAAAAAGGCATGGAAACATAATTGACATTTTAATACTGTACTAAATTATATTGCCGTAATTAATCGAAGTCTCTTTCAAACTTGATTCAACCATAAATGCAATCAGCAGGAAAAGTGTACAGTATTCGCGTGATGAGTGATCCCTTATACTCTTCTTCGGGAAAGCCGAACAGTTTCTCTAACTTTGCGATATATAACCACCTTTTATTTGCATTCAAAAATTAATGCATTGGGGTAAATGCCAGTGGTTTATTCAACTATCGGGTTACTTTTTTATGGGAGAGCAAGATAAATAGGCACAGAATATCATGCTTAGAATAATACTCAGTCTGAAATAGCTGATCGCCTCGTTTTCCTAATCACATTGCTGATCGCAAGTAAAGAACATTCATATTGATATACTAAATCTAGATTTGCCTAAATCTTGTTTCAATCCTTCCACGAGAAACCAGTATAGCTGTTGTTATCAGAATTCAATGAGATCTTTGATATAGATATATATATATATATGCAAAGATTTCAAGACGTCTCTCGAGTCCTCAAATTTTATTACTCTATCATTGTACCGTATTGTTGATTTAGAGAAGAAATGAAATAATTTTGACGACACTCTACTGGTTTATAGTGCATAAATTTGAAAAGTACAGACATGAAGAACTTGTAATAGTACAGTACTGGTGGACT